TTTTGCCTTAGGATCACATCAAAATTTTTTACCAAATTTAAAAAACAAATTAAGAAATAATTTTTATTTTTTTATTTTTTTATTTCTTTTCGGCCCGGCCGGGCAAGTGGACCCGGGCCACTCTGGTAGCCTAGTAAGAAAGAGAAAAAGATTGAAGTGGGAGGTGGGGGAGATGATGCGGTTGTAGTTGGGGGAGGGACGGGGGAAAGGAGGGTGAGAGAATGAGAGAGAAAATGATGGGAAAGGTGGAGAGGAGAAGGAAATTAGTGGAAGAGAGTGAGTAATGCAAGGAAGATGAGCAATAGCAAACTACAGAAATCAAACAGCATCATACACATGAGACCAGATAGTCGTGACCTCGAACCAATAGCAGAATTGCATCACGAGTTTCACCAAATAAGAACACAGCAAAAACTCATAATTGACAATGCTGGAATAGCCTCATCATCATTAACGAAAAACCAATGTCGATATCCTATCTGGCACTCGGTGCCCTGACTACAAATGGCAGATCTTATCTAGCCTAATCCGGTGTTAAGTGGACGGAAGCGTGGCACAGAGTGGCCTCCATTGTGTTAGCAAGGTTCCAGCCGCCTCTTGCACCGCACCCAGCAGCAGCAGAGGAGACAACGGTAAGCAATCAGATGGGGGAAGTCCCGCCCCTGCCGACCCTTCAGCCACCAGTCCCGCCACCGGACCCGGCCCCCCCGGACCTAGACGAGGACACACCACTGGATCTTGTGAGAAGAAGGAAATTAAGGCATCTGATGGAGATGGGCCAGGACACGGGACCGCTGTCGCAAGAGGCGATGCTGCTACTCCCGGTCCGAAAGAAAAACGGGAAATGGGAGGTTGGCCTGACACCGGTTGATAATGGCAAAATGAAAGGAGTCACACTGCAAGGTTGGTCCTCTTTTTGGGTAGGACACTGCCGATCTGAGGCAGCAGCCGACATCTTACAAATGCAGCTGGACACGCACATTGCAGAGTTTATGCCCCCTGGAGCACAGGCCACTGCCCTCCTGATAACATACCCAAATAGAGCCTCACAAAGAGATACCCTCATCCGCTATGACCCGGCCAAGGACACAGGCCTAACATGGCACACCCATTCCCAGCTGCTGGATATGCAAACAGTTAAGATCAGGCCCAGCGAGGCATGGACAAAAGAGGACGTCCAGAGGCACTTGTGTGCCCTTCGCAGGCTGGGCCTCCGAGCAGGGACCGCAGACTGGGATTGGGATCAGTTGTCGTGGACTAGACTGTGAGCGACCGACAACCACAGCAATGGACCCGGTCAAATCGGTATACGGTAAGGATCGCGTTTGGAATCAATGCCGAAGGGCAGCAGATCTCGACCTGCGGTCACTAAATGTAAATGGCCTAGCTTCGTGCAAAGTGGAAAAGAAGAACGCAATATGGGATCTGATGAGAGGGGTGGGGGGCAGGGACTGGCCGAACGTCGTGTGTATCCAGGAGACCCACCTGACAGACTCCCCAGAGCATAATCGTATCCACAAAATGATTAGGCCATATAAAGCATTTAGAGCCCATGCTCCGAGACCCGGGAGTGCGGGGGTGGCCATCTGGTTCCCTCCCGAATCTCGAGCAGACCCGGTGCATTGGGCAGTTGACCAGGAAGGGGGCAGATGGGTGTCGATTTTAGTCCCCCTGGAGTTGGAGATTGTATGCATTTTGTGCATCTACGCCCCTAATGCGGTGAGCGAAAGAAGAGGTTTCTTTGAGAAGATTAAAACACAGATCCCGGACAGTGTCCCGGTTATCATAGTAGGCGACTATAATGCAGCCCCGGACCGCTGGATGGACAAATGGAGAATTCCCTCCCCAGCCCCGACGTATGTGGAGGAAGACGAGCGGATGATAAGGGACCTAAGTCTCTCCCTAAACGTCTTCGACTCCTTTCAGAGACTTAACCCGGACACGCAGTTCTTTTCATGCCTGCGCAAGACTGGGACCGACAATCAGACCCGATCCAGAATTGATCTGATCTTGCTCTCAGAGGATTTGGCAGGAGCTATGCTGCTCGCAGCAATACTGCCGGCCAGCCCATATCCATGACTCGATCACAAAATGTGCACAGTGACCCTGTCATTCCGAAAGAAACCTGATCAGGGGCCCGGATTCTACAAACTCAATGTCTCGATCTTACGACACGAGGCATTCCAAAACTATATCAAAGACTGCTGGAAATTTTGGCACACACAGAAACAACACATCCCGCAAGGAATAGAATGGTTTAATAATGGCCTCTTCTACCTAGGAAAGAAATGTCAAGAGTACTCCAAACAACTAGCAGCTAGAAACCATCAGCAGGAAATGAACATTCACCTACAACTTCATCAACTTGAGCAACAAGACGCAGACAACAACCAACACACACAACTAGACGAACACGTGGAGATACAAATCCTACAACAACGTCTCCAAACCTTTGCCTCACAACGCTGGGAAGGTATACGTATCAGAGGGCGACTGACATGGCATCAAAAGGAAGGCTCTATCGACAAAAAGTTTTTTAGTCTGGCCCGAGCGCGCATGCGCAGAACAACGATAGAAGCGCTATACGACCCACACTCAACACCCAGGGACGTGGTCTGTTCTACACCCCAATGTATGCTGATAGCAAGGTCCTTTTTCAAGGACCTATTCACGTCCAGGTGTGTTCATTAGGAGGAGAATGTCAGAGAAAAAGAAATAGCGGAATTCTTAGAACCATTGAGTAAAACCCTGTCACACCAGCAAAGAATGAACCTGGATCGGCCGCTGTCCAAGGAAGAAATTTGGACTGCAATGATGCAGATGGAGAATGAAAAACCCCGGGTGCGGACGGATTTCCCAAAGAATTTTGGGAAACCTTTTGGTCCCTGATGGCCCCAGACCTCATGGATTTCTATAACCTGGTATGGGAGACCGGAAACATGGGGGAGCTGGTGGGACAAGGGGTTCTCACGCTGTTGCACAAAAAAGGAGATATGATGGACATCAGAAACTACCGGCCGATAACGCTGCTCACAGTCATATATAAGATGCTTGCGAAAGCCTTGGCGAACCGGCTGATCCCGGTCCTGGATCAGATTATCCATCTGACACAGACAGGCTTCGTTAAGGGTCGCAGAATTCAGGACAACATTCTACTGGTGAACGAATTGCTTAAATTAACCAGGCAAGACAAGCAAAACGTGGATGTGGTCTTCATAGACTTCGAGAAAGCCTATGACCACGTGGACTCGCTGTTTCTGGACCGATGCATGGAAAAAATGAATATAGGCCCGTTTTTTCGCCGTTGGACTGAAATCTTGCACCACAACGCCACCACAAGCGTCCAAATCAATGGCAGACTAGCACCAAAATTTCCTCTACAACGGTCGGTCCGTCAGGCAGACCCCCTGGCCCCGTTTCTGTTCATAATAGTGATGGAAGCTCTAGCAGCGAATCTCCGTGCAAACAAAAACCTGAGGAAGCTGTAGATCTCAGCCATTCCGGAAGAAGCCATCCCTGTTTGTTCGATGTTTGCTGACGACCTGACACTCATGGTAGACGCCACCAGCGAGAATATGGAAGAGATCAGACGATTGTTTGACAAATTCATGGCGGTTTCAGACATGACAGTTAATTGGGGCAACAAAACCCTTGGGTGGTGGATACACCACCAAGGGGCGCGCCCCCCAGAGCTGCCACAAGTTAAATGGCTCCCAGAAATGGCCCCAGTGAGAGTGTTAGGAATAATGTTGACGGCAACAGGAAAACCGACATCGAACGATGACTGGATCCTCAAACCTGCTCTGGAGAAGCTGGCGCGCTGGAATGACAAACATACTTCCTTACTCGGCAGGGCGCTAGTGATTAACAGTGTGGTGTTGGCCTCTGGTACAAATCTGCAATATGGGCGCTTAGCAAAGAAGCAGTGCGGTCCCTCAAACGACAAATAACGGCAATGGTGTGGAGGGGTAACAGTGAGCTTACTAATGTTATACATGGACGTCGGTGATCCAACCCAAGGACATAGGAGGCTTGGGTATTTTGGACCCGGGCACCCGGGTCACAGCACTAATGGTGCAGTGGATCAAGAGATTGGTGTTTACACACGACCTCCCGTGGCATGCCCTTGCGCTGGAACAGATCGCCCGGCTCGCTCCACAAGCCCCTCGAACAGTAAACCCCCTGACTTGGCTGGAAGACCGCTTTTGGTCCTTGCCTCGATGCTCTCGTGCGAGCCAGGACCCGAACCGGGATACAATCCGCAGCGACCTCGTAAAGGATGATTTCAGGATCCGCTGCATGGAAGCCTGGCGCCAACTGCCGTTGCCAGACAGAACTGGGCCAACCAGATGGGAGGAGGTAGCCCGACAACTCCTGTTCGGGAACAGGAATATCACGGATCGACAAGGGAGGGTCTATCGCAGCTGCGACCCCTCGTGGAACAGCTGGGTCAAAAAGGGGCATAACTAGAATTAAGGACATTTGGGACTCAGAGAACAAAGGCTGGAAGATTGAGTCACAAATGAGGACGTTGCTGAAGCATTGTCATAATATAGAAGGCAACCTGGAGAGTCTGATCTTCGGGATTCCCCTGGACTGGGTGCGCATTCTGCGAAAGGGACCAAAGCTGATAGACGGGGACTGGGTGGTGGTCCCCGGCGATCCAGAGAGTGTGGGAAATGTAGTAACAACGCACACAGAGGAAACGCTGATTAATCTCTTCCACAAAGAAAATGACAACAAACTAACCAAATATGCCCCGGACGTGACGAGATGGTATCGGAGCACTGATCTGTACAGGATCCGGGTGCTACGGGATAAGGAGGCTTGCATAGTATACCAGCCGGGGACCTGCATTGCGGATCTCCCCTTTGACCCGGAGGAGTGGCAGTGGCCCCCCGCGCGCAGAACCCCAAAGACATAGAACGTGAAGCTCTAGAGCCTGACAGTGAAGGCCACCTATCGCTTATTGCGCCCTAAGGTGAACTTGAAAGATATCGTAAAAACCCGGTGGAGATCCCAGTTGAATGTCGGGGTCGATGCCATCCGCCCCATTCGGTGGTTCTCCCTCACAAGGGCCAAACCTGCGAAGCTAGCCTCACTGCAGTGGCAGATAGAGCACCGCTGCCTCCCCACCAATGACTGGCTAATAGACCGCACCTACCTGGAACAAAAAGGACCGACACTCCCGTGGTGCAAATCGTGTCACGCGGCATTCCCCTCCCGAAAGATCCCGGAAACCATAGAACACATTTTCTTGCAATGTCTGGGATCTGTTCTTACATGGCGATGGTGGGACAAGATTTGGAGGCTGCTGGACACCGGTACAAATTGGCCCCCCCCTGCCTCCAGTACCTTTGAAGAGAACATGTTTAAAATAGGAAGGAGAGCGGTCATGTGGGCGATCTGGAGGAGGCGTTGTATACATGTCATGGAGGGAGTCCGCATAGCCGGGGAGGAAATGACAGACATGATCAAACAATTCATACACCAAGAACTTGTGACGCAATGGCAGAAGGTCAAAAGTTTGTTGGATCTATGCCAAACAAAGAAGGAAATAGAACAAAAAATCCGCGGACGGAGGCCGAATCGTTTTCATCAAGTGGGATGGAGGCCAGACTCAGAGAAACGAAGCAGGCGACCACGACGGCAACCGGGAGCTGATCACTAAAGACTATCAGATCTGTTTCAGAGACTGGACAACGGTGGGCCAAGGGGTTCCGTTACGGCCACCATCGGATTTTCCCGACCCCTTTCCACCCCATCAGTTGGCGGTAGTGGACATGCAGTGGTATGGGGCGGAGTAAGCAGGCCTGATGGATGCAGGGGCGATGTGTTTTGAATTTTGTCTATGTAAGGGACACTGGACCCGGTTTCCAGCAGGTGATGCCCCCCACCAAAGA